TGTACATTACAGTTCACGCTCGATAAGATGAACTTTCAATATCAGTTGTTTATGTTTTATATACTGTTAAACAAATATTGCCTAATGCAATATTCTGTATAAGGACAAAATTATATGACAGTAATGGTTTGTGAATAACTAATCTATTTTCAATTGTTTTAGATATAATTGAAATTTGTTATTTTATATCAAATCGGAAAATAGCTTATCCATTCTTAAAACACAAAAAACATTTGGCATACTGTACAGCGCGGATCATACGATCCATTCTACGGCAAAATCAAAGTCTATACCCGAGTATTACAAAGAGACGCTATTTATAATATGCTGGTATTTTATAAAGACTAATATGAAAATGCACTACCTTTTGATGCCGAGTATCTACATATGTACATACATGCGTACGAACAATTAAAATTTTTCTTAGAACTACATCTCCGAGTTCAAATTATACTGAACTTCAAAAAATTTTTAAAAAAAAATGTTTGTTATAGTATGACTAAAAGTTAACATTATATAGTGTGCATTTATTATAAAAGTTTGTTATATCCATATATTTTAAACATAACCGGCATATAAACTAGGGATGTTATTCTGCTTGTCCAACTCTGTTCGACCCCTGTTTGAGCCCAAACTGGATAAACTCGAGTTTGGCGATCATGTGATTTTATTACGTTATTTAACCTCCGTATGCTCAAATCGAGTTTGAAATCAAGTTTGAAATCGATTAGATGAGTTACGTCGATATGGTTTACTTATTTTCCACCGTGATACAAATACGTCATCATACTACGTAATGTTTAATTACTAATTAAGTGATATTATACTGATATTAGTCGCATTAATATATTATTAAAAATTTTAATTTTTAACGAATATTTAATTCTTCCAAAATTATTATTTAATGAAATAATAAATGTTAGAGGAACTTATAAACGATGAAGAAGCATGTTTGGACGGTTTTTTTAATGTGTTTAATGATTTTGTTGAAACTCTTGAAATTAATTTAATTTCTGATCATCTTCTACCACCTAATATTATTTTATTTGTACGCGAAGGTATTCAACGTGGTAGATTTTCTTCAGGTACAGAATACCTTGTTCCATTAAATACTAATATTGAAAAATGGATACATGACTTTAGTTATAATACACATGCAAGTTATGTATGAGAAAGGACAGAATACAATGCTGGAAATATTGAATTACAATATACTTATAAGTGTCATTGATCAGGGAAATATAAAAGTCAAGCAGGTCAAAATCCTACAAAAAAAACAAGAATTAATCAAAAAGATTCAAAAAAACTTGGTTGTGAATCTTTTATTATAATTACTAAAGGAAATTGTCCTCAAATGATTATTAAATATTTATCTCACACTAACCATATTCCGGGTAGTGATAATGATATTGGAATTTTTAGACTTTCAAAAGAAATTCGAAATTATATTGCACAACAAATCCATATTGGTTTAGATGTTAAAGCAATTGGTCGAATTTTTAGAAAACATACACATGATTTAGATAAAATTTGAAATCAACATGAACATTTAAAAACAATTCAAATTCATAATCATCTTATTACTTATGAAGATATATATAATGTGTAGAAAGAAGTAATTAAGGAGGATCAAATGTAACATGAAATTAAAGAAAAAAGTTTTGATTTATAGTGATGTAAATTTTTAGAAAATAAAGATTTGACTTGTGTGATTTCTTAGTCAGAAAGTGATAATAATGGTAAAGGTCAACTTTTAGGCTTTATAGTTCCTATTGCAAAGGAAATAATTTATTAAGTTAATACAATTTTACTTGATGCAATATATGGTACTAATAAGGATTATCATTTACTTTATACACTTCTTTCACCGGATCCTAAAACTGAAAAAGGAATTCCTCTTGCACATCTTATTTCTTCTCATAAAAATACTGCATCTGTGCAATTTTGGTTAAATTGTCTTAGTATTCAATTATCCAATTGGAAGGGTCCAATATCTTTTTTAGTAGATTATGACTTTGCACAGATCAAGGCACTTCGAAATATCTTTTCTAAAAGTAAAATACTATTGTGCTGGTGGCATGTACTTAGAGCCTGGCATGATAATTTAAAAAAAAATTATATTGAAAAGGTGGCTATGACATTAACATTAGATAATAAATTAAGCTCTAAAATAAAAAAAACAACTAAAAGATGAACTATAGAATGATTTAAATAAATTAATGCAAATTGATAATTGTGCAAATATTGAAGAGTATATTCATAATTTTTTAAATAAATGATCAAGCTCAATTTCATTTATTTCTTATTTTAAAAAACAATGGTTAAATGAGCTAGGTAATAGTGGAATTGATAAGAGTATATGGATTAAAGCATATCATTTAGATGTTCTTCATAATAATATGAATACAACAAATATGCTAGAATCCTGGTATAAAAAGCTAAAATATTATATTTTTGATGAAAAGTATAATTATTGTAAAGACATTCTTATTTATGAACTATATATTAATGGAAATAGTGATGCTTAACAGCAATAGAGATTAGCAAAAATTCATGCAGAACAGATGATGCCAGCAAAGCGAGAAATTAAACAATGTAAACAACAAGCAAAAAATTTAATTCAAAAAATAACTGAAATTATTGTTGGATGATACTGGATAGTTTTATCTGATTCAAGACCTAATGTTAATTATTCAGTTGAAAGGAATACAGTATTTCAAGACCAATTAGAAAAGCAATTTATTTGCACTTGCAATGACTTTCAAACCCAGTTGCTTCCTTGTAAGCACATTTATGCTATAATATTTTGGTATTTTTCAACTAATCAAGATTATATTACACAACAATCACAATCACAACTACAGTCACAATTACAACCACAATCACAACCACTCCCACAATCACAATTACAACTTCAATTGCAATCACAATTGCAACTTGTTCATCAACAACTGTTAATGAAATTCAAGAAATGACAAAAAGTTTAAGCAATCTTAATGTTTCTAATTTACAAACTGTCCAAAATCAACTATCACAAGTTCTTCGAGAGGTCCAAAGAATGGATGAGTTCAATACTAATAATTGGGTTAAAGAAGGCACAAAAATGCAACTTCCTTCACATATGAATATTCAAAGACAAAGATGATAATAATAAAATTATTATAATACGATTAATACTGCAATAAGTTAAAATAAAAACAATAGTATAAATAAATAAATAAAGTGCTTTATATTAAAACCATTCTAAAATTTTAAAATAATTATAGCATTTAGCATTAATATGTTATTTCGAAAACTTGTATTATTTTCTATCGCCTTCGTATTATAAAAAATTTATAATACTATCACATGATTATATGTTACACAATTCAAATCAAGTTTGTATCACAGTGGAAAATAAGGGCACGCCGTTGATATGGCCTCTTTAATTAAAAGTTAATTACGATATTACGTCTTTTTTTTATACATATATTTTTATTTCGTTAAATAATATACTAAAAAAAACGGAATTTTTGATCGTATAGTGATTGGTTATTTATTCGTGATTTGATTGGATAATTTGTAACACGTGTATATTATGACATCATGATCTATTCTTTTTGTGTGAAACATTACGTAAATAGCATTCTTGATCTGTATGATTTAAATACCTTCCATATATGATAATTGCTAGCCTGTAAAGGGCCCGTCATGAGAAAGCACAATTATGATCCATGCCAAAATAGCCAGTTAAGCTACAACGGACAATTCGCGATCCGATCTGAAGGAATCTGCCAATTTCATAAATATACATAACTGCTGAATATAAATATCAAATATTCATCTGACATCCGGCCTGGACTATGCAAACAGAAATCGCCGACCAGCAGTAAGCTACACAAATGGATACGTACGTATCACTTCACCGACACTCATTTAATAGACATAACATTTCACCAATAAAAATTCACCATGTTTATTTCACCGACAATTATTACGCAGACAAGTTTATTTCACCGACAGGTTATTTCACTGAAGCTCATTTCATAGACAAATTTTTTTTATAAATTCCACTAACCTTAACTCTAATTCTAACCTGACCAATCAACTCTTGGGAAGAAATTAGTAGATTCTAAATTATCTACAATTTTTTTTAAATTTCACATGATGCATAATCTCACGAACAAAAATCGAAACTATTTAAAGTAAAGACTCATGAACAATCTAAATTATAACCACTTTAAACTATAAATTTTGAATAACACAACCTTACATTTCAACCTCAAGTCATATATTTATCATAAACAAAATGATAATTACTAAACATCAAATAAACAAATTTGTCAAGTTTGATACAGTAAGCAAAATTATAAAAAATTAACTAAATAAATAAATCAAAATTCAAAAAAGCAAAAAATACTAAATAAGATAGGTAATGCAAATGCGCCACCTATCGCACTAGTAAAATATAAATAAACGATTTTATTTTATACATATATTTTTACTTCGTAAAAAAATACAAATAAGCGATTTGTTTTTCATACATGCATTTTTACTTCGTAAAAAATATAAATAAGAGATTTTTTTTTATACATATATTTTTACTTCGTAAAATGGATGAAGAAAGCACACCTGATTTATTTATTAACTCCACTGAACTTACCTTTTCGATTACTCAAAATACACTTAAATTCAAAGCACTTTCGGAAATAACCAACCACCCTCCAAAAACATAAAAAATCGTATTCCTTTTGGGATGAACTTAATAAAACCATCAATAAGTGACAATGCAAATATTGCAGTAAATCTTATTCATTTGATACGGGCCTTTTCACTATTAAGTCGCATTTTAGCATAATCATATAGAGTGATATAATGAACTTATGGCTAACGTTGAGCTTTTTGGTGCCGATAAGGTTTTAAAAATTAACCAATACCTCCTAAATGGATTGTCACGGACTCCCCAAGAAATTACTTTAGAAAACACATAATAATAAGTTAAATAATACTTCCAATGTTCTTGAAGAATAACTCATGGCTATTGAGTACAACTGTAATTCATTGGACTTCTGGAAGCTGATGTACGTTACTCTGGGCTCACACGAATGGTGCGTGATTATTTGGTCGTATAAGCCATTTCCGTAACTAGTGAAGAAATGTTTTCTAAAGCCAAAAATATGATTAATCCAATTCGTAACCAATTACTGAAGAAAATGCTACTGCAAGCCTTTACTTAAAAACGTAGTATGAAGGACAATAAATTAGGTATTATTGTGTAGGTCAATAAATAACTAGTATCGATAGGTGTAAATGCATAATAAGTATACATTATTGGGCAAAAATTTGTGAATAACGGCAATTTAGCAAATGAACACGTGCCGCTTTGCGGCATGTGCAGCCAATCATTTGCTAAATTACCGTATTCGCAAATTTGCCCAATAATGGCAATTTATGATCATGATTGGTAGGGAATGGTTGACTGAGTTTTAATTTGAATAAACACGATTACATCGTATCACATGAAAAAAATAACGTGCAGAAATTTATTTATGATCATAAGAGTTTGCCGGATAAATGTATATTTTACGAATGTAAAATTCACGTATTTGCTCTATTAAATAGTGATAACAAAAGCAGGTTTATTAACTTGTTTGAGCAGGCATAATTATTAGTATATTTGTATAAACTGAGTTCGATAACTGGTTTCACATATATGGTTCGAAACAGTGTTCCAACGAGTTTTTAAGCATAAATTAACCGGTTGGAACAGGATAACATCCCTAATATAAATTTCATACAATTTATATAGTGGCATTTAAAATCCACAGAACAAATTGTTTGCAACAAAATCGTCTTGGTGAATGCTATGAACATAGTATTGAAACGAATATATGAATGATGCATTTCATATTTTAACGATTCTTTATTACAAATGATGGATCATTATTTTATTTCTGAAGTTTAGCTTCTGTTTTTTTTAATACACATAGGCTGCTGTTAATAGAAGTCAGGCAGATTGAAATCTAAAAAAAGTATCAATATCTTAACTTTTGTACCAATATTTCGATGATTTTTTAAGTTATTTTAAAGATTTAATAGTCAAAAGAAAGCTTAGAATGCAGGCTTTCTTTTGGCTTTTAATCTTCAAAAATTCATCGAGATATGGGTTATAAAATTAAGGTATTGATTTTTGATTTTTATTGATAGAAGTCCACATGTAGGACATTTTAAATTAGTACATATGTATCTTTTTCCAAACGAACATTTATTCCATTGGACACTCGCGTTGTTTAATTTAAAAGTAATTTGAACATTTAAATTATATTAGAAAACAGCAAAAAATCTTCATGATTTTAACATTATAGCAATATCCAAATTTTGCTATTGCCCATGTTTTATCTGGATATCGGTTAAAACAACACATTAAAAAAAGATCAATGAACTGTAGATATTAAATTTACTTCTAGCAAAGAAAAAATAGTATAATAAATTCTTGAACTTTAAATTCTAATATAAATTTTTCGTGATTGAACAACGCGAAAATTTAAAAGTTCGGGTTTAATTATAGTTATCTGTGTTAGAGACTAAGAAAGCGCGTAATAATCATAAAAAGATGTATTCTTATATTCAAAAACATTAAATAATACAGTTCTTATTTGTCCGTAGAAACATTGTAATTAAAGGCTTTATAGATGAAGATGCTTATGTAGAATTGCGAAGAACTTTGCTACTGAACTTTTATATAATTAAATTATATTCAATTCACTCCAATCAAATATGTTTTGATTATTTGGAAAGAAAATTTTAAGAAGATACTTCTTGCATTTAATGATATTTATAAATTTATTATTTATATATGTTACGGGTCAAATTGATTTTTAGGTCAAGTTAAAATTGACACGGGCCAAATCAATCACTTAAAACCCGGCCGGCGTCAACACAATTCCGGTCCTCCCTGACCCTAAAATTCTGCTAGGGATTAATTTGACCCGGGTCAAGTTTAACTTGACCTAAAAACCAATTTGACCCGTAACATATGCAGTAGCTGCATATATTAAACCGATCCGAACTTCCCCATCCCTAATATTGCTGTTGTTGGAGGGATATTATATTGAAATTTTATGTATATTGAAAAAAAATTGGTCGACATTTATATGAAAATGTTTTTTTTGTACTTTTCATGGGAGCTGTATAGTGTTTTGTGATACGGCATTATAAAGTTTAAGTGCAGAATTTCACGTTTCATTGCATTAAGTACATTATCTAATTAGTTGAGATTTGCAGACCATTACATGTTGCGGTATAGCAAACTTTTCTGACTTTAATATGTTCTTTTATCATTAAAATTCATTACTAAATTAAATTTCAATAAATCATTTACGACACTATTCGAACAGCTGGCAAGATACTTTTGTATCTTAAACCCAATTCCAGTCGTATATATGCGCTGACAATTTATTGACTAATATCTACGCATTAATAGCATTAATACAAATCTACACTATCTTTTTAATCATTCTGTAATTATGGACGTTGCAAGCGTTGTAACTTCTGCTGCAGTCACTATTGCAGGCTCTGCTGCAGTCAGTATTGCAGGCTCTGCTGCAGATAGTATTGCAGGCTCTGAACTAGTCAATACGATAAAGAATAATATAAAGGATATAGCTGGAACAATTCATGATATTTATGTGAATTCAGAATGTAACAAACGAATTAGCGTATTTATGACAAATCGAGTAAAGACTGTAGAATTTGTCATTGATACGATTTTGCGAAATGACGAACAAAAATTTCAGAAAAAATATGATTGTTTATTACTTAAACGGTTTGAAAATCTTTTGAAGAATATCAAAGAATATACTGAAAAAGTTTCAAAATTAAAAGGCTACAAAAAATTTATTGACGCAAATGAAGTTAAAATTTCATATGACAGATTAGCAGAAGAATATGAAGCATGCATGATGGAACTACTTACTACAATTAACGATGCCAATAGAAAGATTCTAACTATTTATAACGCCGATAGAAAGGAAGAGTCTGATAAAGTTGATAAAGATCTCAAGGATACTGAAGAAGTATGTCAAATTCTGAAATTTGGAAATAGCTCTGAAATGTGATGCTAATTTATTTATAATTTTTTTTCCTATGTATATTATTTTCAATTTTAGAGTTTTAAGAATTTTGATGATGTGTCGACTCAAAAAGTAGACCTTGTACAATCTCAAATAGCCAAACAGCCAAATGATAATTATGTGAAAAGGATTAGTCCAGATGAACTAACTGACCTTCCTGCTTCACATAAAATAAATGTTTCTAATGTCATTAAAAGGTTTTACAAGAAAACAATCGAAGTTGAATGTAAAGATTTTAAAAAATCTTAAGACTTTCAAAATCATTTAGCATTAATTGGTAAATTAGACTCACCGTATATTCACCACTTTTTTGGTCTTTCATACGTTGACAAGCGAGATGTTATGGTTTTTGAGCCAGCTGAATATGGGTCTTTAAAAGAACTTTATAATGCTTATGATCTTCCCTGGACAAGAAAAATAAAAATTGTTCGAGATCTCTGCCGTGCCCTTATTTTTTTACGCAGTGTGAATATTTTTCATCATGATCTTAGATGTGAAAATGTTTTAGTAAGTACTATTAAAAAACATGCATTTTGATATAACACATTGAACTAACAGTTAGGTTGTAGGTACGTGATAACTTGGATACAAAACTTGGAAATTTCAAGTATTCACGAACGGCAGAAGGAGTTACTATAAATCTTTCAAGTTTAGTTACAAATATAATTCATTGGATGGCTCCTGAGTTAATAAAAAAATATATTGACAACAATCCTAATAAAAATGTTTATACATTTAATTGCGAAATGTTTAGGTATTCATTGTTTAATACAGTATTAAAAATCGATTCAATTACAATTTATTGTATATTTTTTCTAACAATTAATTTTTGCAATTAGTTTTGGGATGCTGATTTGGGAGCTTTGTTATGAAAAGGTACCTTACGAAGATTGGGGTTTTAAGAAAGTTACTGACCATGTTTCAAACGGTAAACGGGAAAGGCTTTTGCATGGGAAATTTAATAACAAAGATGGTGAAATTCAAAGAAAATTTATTGAAATTATCCAAAAGAGTAATGTTAAATCAAATTTGGAGCTTTTATAACTTTATTGTAATCATCTTAATTAATTAAATTAATTAATTAATTGTATTTTATTTCATTCAATTAATAATAATAGCATGGCAGCAAATACCAGAACAAAGAATAATAATTACTGATCTAAATTTACAAGTTGAACAATTAGCTGCAAAATATCAAATTTTACCGGAAGAACCTAAACTTTTACAAAATGGAACTTTAAATTTTGGGGAAGAAGATATGGATGCGCCATCAGTTGACTTTGTAATGGATCTTGAAAAGGGAATTGAACTTCACAAAAAAAAAGATTATAAAAATGCATGGAAATGCTTCGAAGAGAATGCTAAACTTGGCAATATATCAGCCAAATATTGGCAAGGCGTCTATTTAAATAACGGATTTGATGTTAAAAAAGATGAAACAATGGCAATGCAACTTTTTAAAGAAGCTGCTGATTATGCTCAACCTAATGAATATAAAGTAGATGCACAATATCAATATGCAAAATTATTACTTTCCAAACTTAAAAATAATGATGACGATGATGACACTAAACGAACCAACTGCACTAAAATTTTGCATTACTTTAAATTAGCTGCTGATAATAAAAATACAGATGCAATGTTTTATCTAGGCGATTTTTACTTGAATGGAAAGTTTAAGGCGCAAAAGAACACAGGCCTTGGGTTATCATATTTGTATTTAGCAGCTTCTTATAAGCATGAAGGGGCAATTAATTTATTAAAAGAAAAAGGTGAAAATTACGTCTTTATTCTTTGTGAATTGTTCAAAATAGATTGCATCTATTAATGACATTAACTATAAATTTTCGCTTTTAAAAATATTTATTATATTACGGGTATCCAGGTTATAAATCAATTCCAGATCAAGAAACTGAAGATGAAGTGAATGATAAAATGGAAATCTATTAATAATTTAAAATATACTGCATGTTTATTATTATTAAATTATCTATTTTATACATTTTATCCACTATATAAATATACGAATTTATTTAAATAAAATTTGGTATCAAAAGTTATGACGATAATGATTCTTTGTATATATGCACTACCTAGAGTTTGGATCCGGTTTTATTTTTCTTATGGCAGAACTGATTAAAACCGAGTTTAATAAAAAAATAAAACCGGTTCAAACTCTAGTACTGCCTTATGCATTTTATTCTATATCCTTTCGTTTAATGAAGCAGATTTTTAACTAAGAAACAGCGACTAGGTTAAGCATAATGCTTATAAATATTGTAATGTTGTTCGTTTCTAAATTAATAAGCCTATTTTACACCAAAATTAATTATGAAATATTAGTATTACGCGTTAATCGAAAATATGTATCCGTAGAAAAAGTTAATTAGAAATCTGCAAAAGTAATTATCATGTAAGGTGCTAAGAGAATAAATGCAGTACTGATGAAAAATAATACGTTTATTTATTTATACCAAATTTGCGCAAAATAATATCCATGGACGTTATTTTGAAACAATACAATTTAAAGAGAGCTAATAATTAATTTCATCGGGAATCTTTTAAAGATAAAATTGATTATTACTTCACTTTAAGTTACATGTCTCAAAAATAACCAAAGAACGTTATTTCGCACGTATATTAAAAACTTTATTTTATTACAACAGTATTAATGCAATCTAATTATGATATAACATTCTTTTACGTAAATTCCCCAATTTTTTAACTAATCAAATTTTAAGTGTGATCTCGGACAATTCTAGACCAATTTATGCATGTACTGGTACTATTTTTACCATAAAAAGATACAAAATAGTTAGCATTTTTACTCAAAGCATTCGCCAATGCATCCACTCCTTCAAATTCAAGTTTATTACGAGTAAAACCTATAGTAATTAGCGTGTTATTATTGCAAAAAAGCTTCTACAAGTATTTTTTCACATTCAGAACCGAAATAATTATAATAAAGTTCTAAATTCTCAGAATTAAATTGACTCAGCGAATGGACAGATTTTTAATTAACAATTGGTTTCCTACAAAATAAAACAATGATAAGCTCATTTTTTCATTTTAAAACATAAATTATATTACATTACCAGAGGTGAATTATATGGTCATAAAAAGAACAACTGGCTGCTAAATTTTGGGAATATGACCAGTCAACACCATATGCTAAAGATGTATGTTCCATAAAACTTGATATATTGTGCATAGAATATGAATCTATAGAAACTATCTATTAATATATTTTATTTATTACAATTAACAAATAAATATTTAATTTAATTACCATTATTATTTGCTTCAGATGTGTAATTAACTTTTATTACTTGAAATCCATTGTGCATACATGCACTTAGTAAAAAATTATTCTTTTTTGGATGCCACTTTAATCTCCAAACACCTCCATTTGCATAATAATCTGATATTGGCTGTTTCATTTTTCTTGTATCCCAAAGCAATATATGTTCATCATAGCTTTTTAAAATAAAATATTTAAATAATTGCTTGTCAATAAATTAATAAATTGATACTTTATAAATTTATTACCTTCCTGTAACTAAGTAGTTCTCAAAATGTGGATTAGATTGAATACTACAAACACCAGATTGATGATGCCTGCAGTTTATAATATATTAATTTTCTAAATAAATAAATAAAAATTTAAATTAAAAAACTACTAACTTTCTATTCGTAAATAGTGAAGATGATAAATCCATTCGCAAATCCCATCCTTTCAAACAAGAGTCATCACCACCTAATTTTACAAGAATCAATATTATGAAGATAATTTTTGAATTTGTATAAATTACTAACCAGAATATATTATATTTGTGTTATAATAATTAAATGCAGCTATCCAAGTTTCGAAATCATGGGCCATCCATCGATTTTTCTCAAAAATTCCAAGCTGTCTATCAACAGATAAAACTGATATAGATCCATCACTTTGTGATAATACAATTGACCTATCACTACAATTTATTGCGAATAAAAATAATATATTGTATAAATGAAATTATAATAGACTTTTATAAAAACCAATGCAAATTGTTACCTTAATCCTAAACGATCTGACCAATCGAGAGAAAGGCATAACTTGTCATTATTATTTACAGCATGCAAAATAATGAGATCAAGTTGTGACTTTTAAATTAATAATGAAAAGATTAATACATTGCAAAAAAAGAATCATTTAAAATTGATAACAAATTAAAAACACACTTTCTCTTGATTTAGCTTATATAACCCAACTTTTCCTGATGCATCAGCTAATGCAAGGATCATTTGATCATCAATACATTGATGTGACCTTGATTATAAAAAAATATTAATTTATGAAAATACGACTTTTAAATTAAAATAATTATGGATAAACCATTTAATATCCAATATAGCAGAAGTTTCTATTTGTTGTATTTCATTCCTATTCAATAATCATTTAAAAAATTTACTTTAAGATCTTTATAAAATGAGAATAGTAATGTTCAATAAGTAAACTAACTTACATCACAACAGAACATTCATTATTTATGATTTGATACAATAATACTCTTCCTAATCTTCTCTTAGGTTGAAATGATACATTATCATTATATTCTTGGTCCTCATGGACATATTCAGTCTGTTTAATTTCTGAATCTGCCAATTGATAAGTTCCACATACTAAAAATTGAGAATAATCCTCGAAAGGACAGAATTCCACCGAATCTGCACTATACTTTGTGTCCAACGAGCAAAGGGATAAAGCTTTTTTATTTAAATATCAAATAAAAAAAAAAGACGACTAAGATTTTTGGTAATAGTTTGATTAAATAGAATAAGAGATAAATTTTAAACCATTGAGTTGTGCCATAATATATTTACAAATAAGTTATTTTTTAAGCTTTAACATTAACGCTTACACATGACAGTTTGATTATATACGTAATTATCGTTTATGCAGTGTGACGTACTAACTACGTACATAATTTCAAATTTGGTAAAATCCCCGACCAACATATTTGTGGAACATAGATTTTCATTTGACTGACGTTAAAAAAAGGTTTTAAAAAAAAGTTGTAAAAAGTTTTTTTTGTTTTATAAAATTCTTAAAGACACATTTTTCACAAAATGACAACGGTACCAATTCTTAATCAATCGTTTAGTACAAAACTTTTTGATGAGTTAACAAAAGATTTAATAGCATTACTTGAAGAAGATGATGAACATAACGTAATAATTGAAGCCGGTGAAGAACCAAATATTAAAAAATTTAATGCACATTATTATATTTTAAGAATGAGATCACCATACTTTCGTCAAGCTTTATCCAGTAGATGGGCTAAACAAGAAAATGGTGTATATATTTTTAAAAAGCCAAACATTTCTCCGGAAACTTTTAGTATTATTTTAAAGTGAGTGAAATAAGTTTTTGAATAATTTCATAAATGATTTTTTCTACATGCGAAAGAAAAATCAATACGAAAAAAATATCAAAAAAATATACATAATTATATTTCATTGTATAAACAGATACATATATTCTTCAACAATTAAGGTGGATACACTTAGTGAAGTTGAAATTGTAAATGTTTTGGGTGCTGCAGACGAATTATGTCTTAATGTACTAGTTGAAGTTTTACAAGGAGTATTAATGGAACGAAAGCATTTATGGATGGACAAACAATCAGTATTAATTTATAATGCTGGACAAAAGTATCCAACTTGTACTTTATTATCTGAAATAATGCAAGAAGCTCTTTATCAAGAACCTGAATTATTACTCAAGTCTGATGATTTTACGGCTTTAGAAGTTGAAACTGTTAATTGGCTTTTACAACGTGACGATTTAGGAATGTCAGAATTAGATCTTTGGTTACGTCTTGTTGAATGGGGAATTGGTCAACTTCAAACTCCTTTAGATCCAGAGGTAACAAAATGGACTGATGAAGAGTTTACCGCATTGGAAAATATATTACGTCCTTGTATTCCATATATTAGGTGGCGTCATATTCCAGCTACAGAATTTGAAAAACAAGTTTCAATATTTAAACGTCTCTTACCACCTGAATTACATGATCCTGATATTACTGGTTCATCAGCATTTTATACATCACCAGTTTATTCTACTGTAGCATCACGAATTCAATCCGTTTTAATAAATCCAGATCAAGCAGCAAGAATTGCAAGTTGGATTGATAAATTAGATATCACACCGTTAGACAATGGAGAAAAATTATACAAGTCATGGTGTATTCCATATCAATTCAAACTTGTAGTTCGGGGGAGTCGAGATCAAAAGTTTCTTCAACACACTTTAACTTCCAATCAAGCCGTAGTTATTATTAAACCTTCAAATTCAACAGAGATTCTAGGAGGGTATAATCCATTGAGTTGGAGTAAGAAATCAATCTCATCAAATAAAGAACCTCAAAATACTGCTCCTTTAAAAGATAGTTTCGTCTTTAGCTTGGGGAATGATGAAACAAATGATATATTGAGCAGAGTTATAGATCCTAAAGATTCAATTTATTGTAATGTTTATTGTTCACCCGTATTTGGAAAAGGTGATTTATTCCCTAAAGGTCATTTTGAAATTGGGCAACCATGCGGATGTAAACAAACTAGCTACCAGATTGCTTTGAGGCAAAGTCAAGAACAATTTATTATTGAAGAATTTGAAGTTTTTCAAGTTATTAAAAAAGAATATTAAAAACATTGAAACATTGTTGTGATTTTAAAATTGAGGGACTTTTAAAATTGGTGAGATTTTATGCAATATTTGTAATATGAAGCTTTTAAATCTTTAGAGAAACTAATGTAAAAGTGAAATTACTGTAAAAATTCGCGATAAGAGATTTTTATGTTTTAAATTGTATAGCATTGGTCGATGTGAAAAGACGCTAGAATTTAAATGTGCGATTTAGCACTAGATGATTAATGATACGATTAGAAGAATTATCATGAGTCATCAAAATGTATTATTCAAAATTAATATTCGTTGTAATTTGAACACTTTTGGTTTTAGACTTTTCAATTAATCAGATAAAATTTTATTAATAAATTTATGATGCATTATTGATTGATCTATCGATCGAAAGTTTTCCTTGTGTTGACATTAATTATAGTTAATGGTAAATACGTGCCTTTTCCTACTAACGTCTAAAGCGGGGCAACTCGTATTTCTTAATAATTTTCTCGATTAACTTTAAGGTTGGGGCCATCTTATATTGGGTTATGTTAGGTTTTAGGTAGTTATATATAAGCAAAATTGCCTTCCCGACATTTTTAATTAACCCACCCGAGGTAGGTTTAGACTGCCGTTTTTTGTATTTATTAGGTTTTTCGTTAGTGATACAAATCGATGAAAAATTTTCAATCGATTAGTTGATAGATCATTTTATCCAACTAATCGATTAATCGGTTTTATTCAACTAGTCGATTAGTTGGCCAATCGATTAGTTGACTTATCGATTGGCCAACTAATCGATTAGTTGAATAAATAATAAATGAAACTTGGTAAAATACACGTAGGGTAGCAACTGAAACAGCCGATTGATATTCTTGTAAAATTCAAATCGATTAGTTGTCAACTTTACAACTAATCGATTAATTCGATTTTCGATTTGTATCACTACTGCACTACAGTAATGTACTATTTACAGTATATTATTTCCAAATTCTGATTAGTGAGAGTAGGGGATCGGCAAAGGTTTGGATATTATATTATTTCCAAATTTCCAGTCATAATATCCGATCACTGATGAGAGTGGGGACAAATTGGTAATACCAACATGGCCAAACTGATAGACCCAGAAAATTAATGGTTATGTCAATTGATAATTAAACAAAGTATATCATCATCAATGTTTATTTATCAGTGCATAAAGTTTAAACCCAATCGTTTTTTTCTCCGACGAATAAATTTAGTGATCGATAGGCGTTTTCATAGAGCAATTTTGAACCATTTAAAAAATTCTACTATTATAACTATAGATGTTGGTGAAACTAAATAACGCAGGTGAAACTGGTGACTCTAAAATCTGATTGGCTGTTATATTAAATGTCACCAGTTTAACCAGTTTCACCAAGAGTTTCACCAGTATCTATTTATTATAACTCTTTAGACGATCTAACACTAAGTAAAAATGAGTTAAAACTTCACGCAATATAAGGAAATTCTATTTTCATCTGGGTCACCCGATAAACTATAATGTCATTTATTGTCGCGGATCATAATTTAAAATGAAATCTACATTTTCTACTCAACCTGTTAACCTTCTAAAACCC